ATCCTGCTTGGGTGGACTTTTACCCACGAGGGGATGAGTACCTTTGGGTGCTTGATTTAAACTATATTTTTTGTCTTTCCTGTATTGTTTCCTAATTGTATTAAAGTTCCTTCCCATTAAAGTCTCATATGTTTTGCGTTGATGTGGCGGATGACAACCTATTTAGAGCAGGCAGGTTTGCGGGGTCTTGGGTGCCCCTCTCCCTGTCCTGTAACATTATCTTTTTAGGGGAATTTTTAGACACAGAAATACATTTAAATGTAATAAGATTACAGATATGAGTCTCTCTAGTTTTATTGTTTTATTATTTGTGCTTCATTTTCTTGACTGCTTATTGTTTATCTTTATTCTTTTCTGCCTTTTCTGGCTAATTGTATATTTTTATGAATGACATTTTAACACTAACTTTTCAGCTGTATTGTTTTGCAGTTAAAAATTATTTTCGTTTTAGTGGCTGCATTCTTTACATAGTCTTAATACTGTACCACTTTATTAGAAATATAAAAATGTTGCAATAGCAAAGCCCCATTTACCTCTTCCAATACAAAGGCTATATTGTGACAATACGATATTTGGCACTTCCATAATCTATGTTTCTAAGTTCTGAATTCAAGAAGAAACCCTTATCAGCTATGTGTGGATATATAACTACTCACCCAAATATTTGGTTCAGTGTGGTATTCCATAATGCACGCACAATAATGGTCTGTTGTTACATACGTATGTTAAGAGTGATGGACACCTAGGTAAGATCCTAGGTTTTCCAAAGGTGGTGGTATGATTACAATTTTTTTTAAAGATTTATTTATTTATGCATACAAGAACTGGGGTACAGGCCAGAAGTGTGGATGGTGAGAGGATTCACCAGAGACAGAGTGGGGAACAGAACAGGCAGATTGACTGAAACATACTGTTGAGGGGAGCAGTGGACCAGTCAGGAGAGGTCTCCAGTGCCATGTGGGTATCTCCCTGACTAGGGATCGAACTTGTGCTGCAGTGGCTGCGGATTGCTTCATAGGTTACTTCTTAACCCCTTGCGCCACCAGGGAGGCCTTGATTTACGATTATTGTCCCATGTTAAAGCAAAACACTGGAGCTTGTTAATACTTGTTTAACAAGATTATTGACTAAAGATGTGTTGGAAATGAAGGAAAGTAAAAACTTTTTTCAAAGCCCAGAGGTATTTCCTTTCTTATCCTAGCAATAAAGCAATAAAGTACCAGTACCTGGCTACCTGAGAAACAAATATAACTCAGGATTAGCTGAGAGAGCACTGAATTCAGAGAGGTACCAGAACCCTCTCAGCTGTCATTGTCTTACCTAAAATCTCTTAGTAAGCATTTTTAAAAAACAGAGTTCAAATCCCTAAATCTCCAGTTCTTCTGATTCAATGAGTTAGAGGTCAGGAAATTGCAGTAACCTATTTTTCACACATTGTACTCTAAGTGCTTCACACAAATGGTAAGTTAATGTATATAATTGTTTTAATTTTAAGAGTCACTTTTAAATGATGAAAAGATTGCGTTTGTTTAAATATTTTTCATCCTTAACATTTCAGCACACATCATCTCCTTAGAGTATTGCAATTTAAGTGGTTCCTGTCCTTATCCCTCTTTATTTCTCTCACAATACCCTCTTTGTTTGCTATATAGTTTTTATATTAACCTATAATTACTGTTTTCTGCGCTTTCCTTTCTTATACTGTAAATTTCCTCACTAGTTGGTAGTAAACTGCAAAATGTTATTGTTATAGGACAGGGAGAGGGGCAGCCCAAACCCCCGCAAACCTGCCTATTCTACATGGGTTCTGCCATCCGCCGCATCAACACAAAACATAGGAGACTTTAATGGGAAGGAACTTTAATAAAACTAGGAAACAATACAGGTAAGGCAAAGAGTCTAGTTTCTAAATGAAGCATCCAGAGTTACCCGTCCCCTCGTGGGTAAAAGTCCATCCAAATGGGATTGGCCCAGAGCAAGGCCCCAAGGCCTGCCACAAGTCTAAAGCATCTTCCAGTGGGGACCCACAGAAAAGGGTCACAAACAACTGGACAAGCCCGGAAGGAAAAGAGCAAAATCAACATCAAGATAAAAGCTGCCATTGTCACCTCCCCACGGGTCTCACCCACATCTGTGTCACCTAGTCCACAACCAAAAGACAAGCGCAGTTTCTTCACGTGTCTCTAGGCTCCATGCGCCTCCTCCAGGTCTCCTTCTGGCTCCATCCTGCTTCCTTCCTCAGTCTCCTCTCCAGCTTCTCCTCTTCCTCCTCAGCTCCACCCTCCCTTGGGTGGGGCAGGGAAACTCCCCCTTTCCTGGGGACCATCCTGTTACAATCCCCCCTTTTAAATTTTTATTCCACCATATCTATGGTGGCACAAATCTCAGCGTGTAGTCTTAGGAGACAGTCTTTTTTTGGGTTACAATGTGTGTAAGAGAAGCAACAATTAGTCAGCAGCATTGTCTATGAATGTCCAGTATGACAGTTTTTCATTTTGAAAAATAGTCCATTATGCAAGCCAAAAGAAAAAAATTTGGAGCATTGGCTAAAACAAGATAGCAAATATATCAAAATCACAGGGAAAAAATGTTAAAATGGTTCAACTTATGCAAAAACGAATTCTCTCAACCTTGATCCCAAACAGCATAGCAAAAGTTTGCAAATTAAATCTACTTTTAAATCATTTTTCCTATTTTTGCATAAAATCATAGGGCAGAAATAACTAACAGCAATTTTTAGCTGGCTTTGTTGAAATACCCCATATAGGATCAGAGCGAACCGGTGGCATCCAGTCGATGTATGCTTCAGGTATAACGTTGGTCTCATCAGACTCCACCTGGGCTTTCCTCTTCTCGAGGGTACCAGGGCATTTTCGTTGGCCGGGTTGTCCAGTCCTGCCAATGGAGGCAAGCTTCCTCACCTTCTTTGGAGGTCTCTGGAACCCTACAAACAAGGCAAACAGGTTCTCCTCTTCTTGGTTCAGCTCTTTTTCAACTTTTTGGAAGAACTCCACACAAAGCCACACAATCAAACTCACGTCCAATTTTTTTGTTAAAACAGACAAAATCCCTATGGAAGTTATGCAAAAACAGATTCTGAAATAAGTAGCAAAAATTACTACCACTATTTGTATGCTGTGTTGGTATCAAGGGGAGAGAAAATGTGACAAGTTAGCTTTGCTGGAAAAAAAAATTACAACCTTTCTGCAGATCCTGGTTACTCAAAACAAAACAAAACAAAACAAAAACTTCGTGGATTCAGGACAGAATGCATAAAAAATTTCCAGTATTATGTCAAAGAAACCTTAGTAAATGTCAGGTGTATTTCCAGGTCTATTCAGTCCTTTGTAGGAAAGTTTTTTTTACTCTCAACAGTTCCATCAATAGGAATCTGTTGAGACCTTTTCTCCCTATATTTCCAGAAACAATTTCTGTAGATGTGAAACAATTGAATTATACAATATTACAAGGTGACAATCACCATTGACAATTTACATACATACCAGATACTGAGAGGTTTTTTCATACACATTTTAGAAAACTACTGTTAACATTTTGTACATACCAAAGTTTTACCATTTTCCCAAGTGACAATGCTTCCCTTCCAGTTTTACTCCATTAGGTAAAAGCCAAATAGAACAAATTCATCTAATGCCTTCCCAGGAGGAAAGGGAGAAACTTCGTGGAGTGTCTCAGGAGCTCTACTGAGGGGCGCCAAATCTGTTATAGGACAGGGAGAGGGGCAGCCCAAACCCCCGCAAACCTTCCTATTCTACATGGGTTCTGCCATCCGCCGCATCAACACAAAACATAGGAGACTTTAATGGGAAGGAACTTTAATAAAACTAGGAAACAATACAGGTAAGGCAAAGAGTCTAGTTTCTAAATGAAGCATCCAGAGTTACCCGTCCCCTCGTGGGTAAAAGTCCATCCAAATGGGATTGGCCCAGAGCAAGGCCCCAAGGCCTGCCACAAGTCTAAAGCATCTTCCAGTGGGGACCCACAGAAAAGGGTCACAAACAACTGGACAAGCCCGGAAGGAAAAGAGCAAAATCAACATCAAGATAAAAGCTGCCATTGTCACCTCCCCACGGGTCTCAACCACATCTGTGTCACCTAGTCCACGACCAAAAGACAAGCGCAGTTTCTTCACGTGTCTCTAGGCTCCATGCGCCTCCTCCAGGTCTCCTTCTGGCTCCATCCTGCTTCCTTCCTCAGTCTCCTCTCCAGCTTCTCCTCTTCCTCCTCAGCTCCACCCTCCCTTGGGTGGGGCAGGGAACCTCCCCCTTTCCTGGGGACCATCCTGTTACATTATGACATCTGGTTTATTCACAGCATGAAATCAAGTGTTATATAATGAAGTGCTCAATAGTGTTGTCTAAGAATGGTTTAGTCTAAAAACATAAAACCACAAGTTAGTAACCACCTAACGTCTGATTCACACTAGTCTCAGCAAAGCAGTCAGCTAACACACATACACTCTAACCACCTCTGCAAACCAAACCTGGATACACCAGGTGACTTCCCAGTCCGCGGCGCTGTCCCCAGACTGAGGTCAGGTTAGGGCGGGAACAAAGTTACGCGTTAGGTACATGGTAACACCATCACACTGCGTATTTTGACAATAAAATTAAGAATGTGCAAAAGTATGGGCAGCCCCGGGATACACCTCAATAAACTACAGGGAACAATCATTAGTCTATATACTGACATAGGTAAAGGACTGATGAGTAATTCATAGAGCGGCGCCTCAGGGTGTCTGCTGTGTACGCGCAGCGGGCAAGTGAGGGTGGGGTGCTCAGGACTGGGCCGGGGAGCACCCCGCAGACGCTTAAGCAAGCTACGGGGACACGCAGGACTACAGCTAACACACAGACCACGGCGCCACTTCCGGAAATGCGGCGCACAAATCGAACTGCGCCTGTGCAAACTGAACTGCGCCTGCGCATTGAGATCTCCGCGGAAAGGCCAATAATCGGCGCAGAGAGCGTGTTGCCGCTGCGCCTGCGCACTGAGGCTTGTTAGTACGGCCAGAGACTGGTTTCCGGTTCCGGTGGGCTTGTCTCTCTCTGCTTGTGCGACGTGTCTCTGGCGGTGGGTGGCGGCTGCAGGTGAGGCGTCCGCGGCGACGGGGTCCACTGTGATTTGGGAAGCGGCGGGAAGGCGAGGGTTTCCCGGGTGGCAGGGGGCCTGTGTAATTCGGAGCCGGCAGGCGGGTGGAGCTGTCTGCGGGGCCGGAGGGCCTTGGTGACTTGGGAGGCTGCGGTCAATGAGATGGCTGCGGGGGCTGGGGGAGCTCCGAATGGGGCTGCAGAAGTGACTTCGGGGCGCCGGGGGCTTTGTGACTCGCAGTGGCGGGCACGGGCCTGGCGGTGACGGTTGTGCTCGGTCTGCGCTGAGTCCGGCACCCCACGCCATCTTCTTACCTCGCGACCTCGGTGGGGCGCGGAGACCAGAACCACTGCCCCGAGGTGCGTGTTGTCTGGGGTTCAGTGCCCCTGCGGGCGGCCAGCCTCCCCACTGACTTTCACTTGGGGAGTGCTCAGGCGTCCCTGTGATCTGGTGGGTGAAGACTGTCCGCCCCCTCCGGGTTGAGTGGGTTACGGTCCTGAAAATACCTGCCGTCTCTCGCCCAGTGTAGATAGGACGATACTCTAGATTCTTGGCCTCGAAGAGCTGCCTCATTCCTGGGGTGTAGATTGGAGAACTGGGCAAGACTTGAGAATCCAGTTCTGGAAAACTACCCCCGACCCCCCCCCCCCAGGGTGTAGATTGTTGGAAATTCTAGATTCTATATGCAGCGATCACAACAGAGTGTTCGCTCCCCTCTCCTGACTTCCTGTGTTTTGGTGTGCTTCTCCCCCTCCCCCCAACTCCTCCCCGAGAAGTTTATTGTGCATTTGTGTATCTGGCCCACTGTTCTAAATTCTGGAGGTATAATAAAGTATAGGTAGTAAACATGTCCCATTAACTCTGGTGCCAGTGGTTCTCAAAAGCTGTTTAAGGTGAGATATTTCCCTTGAGTCAGATTCCTCAAAAGAACCTGTATATCATATACAGCTTCAGTCCTCAAAAGGCATGTCCAAGTCTAAAGGTTTGCCCCATATCAATATTGCTCCCTTTGTCAGTGACAGTGTGCCTTTGATTTGATGCTTTACTTGGGGTTTAGGCTTGAGGTCGCATTTTTTGGTTTTCTGTAATACAATATAATTGCCTCATGTTAGGCTAGCTTCACGGCTGTCTCTTTTACATTTTGATGTAAATGAACAGTTTCTCGCTTTATGATAAATATTGATAGATAACACCAGTGAGCATTGATTCTGTTTTTCCTTTTAGTTTTTTAAAGAAGCATCATGGACCAGGTAATGCAGTTTGTTGAGCCAAGTCGGCAGTTTGTGAAGGACTCAATTCGACTAGTTAAAAGATGTACCAAGCCTGATAGAAAAGGTAATATTTTTAAAGCAAGATAAAATTTAGATTTTTGCATTTGATTATTGTCTTCGGGTTTAATAACTTGCATTACTTTCATCAACATTTTTGTTGATTTATTTTATTTTTTATTGTCACGATAATGTGTGCACTAAATTTTTTTCTGATTTATATATTTTCAAATGTAAGATTTTTTACAGTCTTATTTTTCATATTATGTTTACATATTTAATGACTTTAGTCAGAGCTTTTAGTATTTTTCATATGTTTACTCTAGAAAATCTTTTGGAGTCCTCCCTGCTCTGTCAGCCCACCCCAACAAAACTTGAACATGAAACCAACAGTACAGTTTTTGTCAACCTAGGATGTTTAATTTGTTTTTTATCATGATTTATGTGTTAAAAGATACACCAGTATGTTACTGATTTTTTTACTGTTGAGTTAGGAACTGGGAAATTATTATAGAATATAAAATAATAGATTACTTTTTACATATAGCATAATACATAATATAGACATTATATAGAGGAGTCCTTTCTCTTACTGCACTTAGAACCTTTTAGGGAAGGCATTCATGAACAAATAATGGCAATTGCAACTCTTAATTACTGCCAAATACTTACGTTAAGTATTGTGGAAGAGAAATAGAAGGTTTGGGAGCATGTAATGGGAACGCTAAGTGAAGAGGGCAGGAAGACCATCCATGAGGAAATAATGTTAAGTGGAAACATTGCCAAAGTCTGAAACTTTTATATAAAATTGTGCTCAATCCAGTTAGATTTTCAGGCCTGATTTTTTGTTATCATAAAATATCAAAGGTAATAGACCTATTTTTTATAAAACAATATGTGCTTTTATAATCAATATATTTACTAAAGGTAACAGATTTAAGACTTACTGCATTTCTTCTATTCATGTTTCATTTTTTGTTGTGCTTTTTGCTAAAAAGATAAACTGTTTTGCTGCTTATTGATGGATTCACTGGCTTGAGCATGCATTTTATATCTTTACTTAAATATCAATAAAATGTGGACATTTAAAAATCTGTCAACTTATTAATAGTGCCATTTTGTTTTATTAAATCATATATCTACTATTAGGAGATATGTATGTATGTATTGACTGCTAGTTTTTCCCCATACTTGTGATAATGTAAAAAATAATGTAAATTTTGTGTTTTTCATTTAGAATTCCAGAAGATTGCCATGGCAACAGCAATAGGATTTGCTATAATGGGATTCATTGGCTTTTTTGTGAAATTGATCCATATCCCTATTAATAACATCATTGTGTAAGTAAACTGTGAAATAAGCAATATCTAGGATGGACCAAAAATTGAAGCCATTTGAATTGAAAAACTGCTGTTTTGTTAAAAACTAGTAATATCTCTTGATTTTTATGGTAATGGAATCAATTGATATTTATTGATTGAGTCTGATAATTCCGGGTGATTTTCTATCTTGTATAATCTCATAGCAACTCTAAGACAGTCACTATTTTGCTTAATAAATAAAATTTTAAGGGGATAAGGAAGTTAGTTAAAGGCATTCAGTATATGATAAAGGAAGTATTTGATCACAGAGCCAGTGATTACAAATTCTTTTCATGCAGTTTATTGACTTGCTGATGTTTAAGGTACAGAGGAGATGCTCCTCATCTGAAAGTCTGTGGTGCTGGAGTTCCAACTTGGAACCAGATCGCTTAGGTCAAATACTCTTTCTTGATAACTTAATAACTGTCACACCCTTGAGCAATTTATTTAACTTCTCTAAGCTCAAGTTTATTCCAAAAGTGTAATAATTCTTGGTTGGGTTGTTGTTAACATTAAGACATATAAAACCCTAAAAATATTTGGGTAAGCACATAGAGTATTCCCTCTTTATCTACCAGTTCCAGTTATCCTTGATGGATTGTAGTCGGAGAATATTACCTACTATTAGATATTTTACTATTATAATATTACCTACTTATTAGACATTTTGAGAGAGATACAGATATAACTTTCATTATACTAAGTTGTCATAATTATTCTATTTTATTATTGGTTGTTGTTAATCTCTTACTATGCCTAATTTATGAATCACACTTAATCATAAACCTTCATTTTATATTTATGTACATAAATACACACGCATATTAACACACCACACATACATATATGTAGGATTTGGTGCTGTCCTAGGTTTCAGGATACCTGCTGTCTTGGAATGTACTTCCATTCTTATGCCTGTAAGGGGGGGGACTACTGTATATGGAAGTTGTTGCTATTATAATGAGTCATGAATTGGAATGTAATACACACAATGATCGTGTGTGTATTACAATCTTTAGATATGTTAGAAGGAAAAAAAATGACTGCAAAATACTGGGATTCCTTCTTTCCTACTTGATTTTGATTTTTAGATTCACTGGGAGTTAATTGGGCTACATATGGCAATGAGCAGTTTAAACAGTCAGTTTTAGGCAGTGTAGTTTAGTGTAAAGAGAGTATGAGTTGCTGTTCATTTAATCTTTAAGCCTTATCTGCCATGTAGAGATAGTAATACAATTATTTTAGGATGATGAGATTTTAAGCAATTCCTTAGAAATGCTTTGTAGCTATAGATCTCTTAAATACTTGGTATTTTACCACAGATAACTGGTGGAAGTTGTTTTAAATAACAAGTTATTGAGTGAGATAGATTGCTTAAGGAGATAATCGTAATTAAGCATGAGTGCCACAAAGGGATATTTTTAGAATCGTACAAAGTTAGATCTGGAAGGGACCAACAGTTCTCTGTTCAGAATGACTATTACATTTCTTGTGAAAAAGCAAAGTGTAGACTCTTGGAATGGTGGAGAGAAAACTGAGTAGAATCAGGAAACTTAGTCTCAGTGTCTGCTACAGTTGCCTGGTTAGTAAGCAGAAGAGTTGGGAGTCTGTATGGTTGTGTCTGTTTGTATGGTTGTGTCTGTTCATAAGCGAAGTGTAGTGCACTTGCTTCCAATTCTATTGTGAGAAAGATTTAATTGATCCAGCTTGTATTTAGCCTAAGTGTGGGACATTATCATTATTAAACTCCTTTTTGCTCAATCCCTAATGGAGGGCTTTTTGAATTTTTAACCTATGTAACAGTTACATAGTTTTGTTTTGGAACATCCTTTATTCATTATCTAAGTTGTTTTAGTTGTTTATGACAAGGCACTCTCAAGTACACTTCCTCTGCAATGAATTTTTCCCAGAAGTTTTTGAAATCAGTATTAAGATTTGTACTATCTACTTTCCAAAGCAAACCCAAAATGAGTCCGCGAACTTGAAAGTTGTTCAACTGTTTCAACTTTTTGGAATTCAGTTACTCTGAAAACTTTAAAGTAACACAATGGTTTTGATATTTCAAGAATTAAAAATTTATCTGTAAATATTTTTTACAGTGATATGAGGTCAAATGTTTTGTGAGAAAAGCTGTCAAGATCTATTCTTTTCTTGGTATGCCAGTAAAACTGAAAGAAGTCTTTTCCTCCTTAAAAACACAAATCTCTGTTTAAATCATTGCAATAATGCAAGTGACATCATTGCTGGCATTTCTTTTATTAGCTTGTATTATATTACGCTAAAACTTCTATACAGTTACATCACTATAATAATTTCAAGGATCATACTGTTGTGGGTATTTTAGTTACAGCAATACAGGTGAATAACACACTTAAATTACATAGTGTTAAAGTATTTATACGGAATATTTATAAACTTCAGGAATTTTTGTAAAATTCAGGAATATTTATAAACTTCAGCTAGTAATGGAAATTCTTTTTCCTTAACGCCACAGTACTAAAGTGTACATCTGAGTATACAATTTCAATGATTATACATTTAAAGCTTCTCTTTTTCTGTAGAAAAGTTGATTTTTTTATAAATGATTAAACCATTTGTTTTGAATTATTATGGTTAGACATAGTGGTTGAGAACTATTGTACATCAGCTGATTGTTTTCATCTGATTGTACATCAAATTGAAATGCTCTTCAACTAACCATCCTGTTAATTCATAGGATTTGTGTTCTTCAGAAACCATTTTGCTAGACTGCTAAGCATACTTCCCAAATGCATATTCTGAGTTTTAAGATAGGCCTGTTCCTCTGCATCATCTCTAAGTACCTTTTCTGTTCCAAAACTTTAAAGTTCAGTTCCTTGTTTTATGGTTTCTTGCTGATAGTATTGAAGATGGTTCTCAAATAACTGGTTTTGGATCCATAAAATTATAGTATATTGCAGTTGAAGTAATTTTAAAAAAATTTTACATATACTCAAAATTGACCATTTTTCTCTGTTATATAGTGGTGGCTGAATGCTGTTCCAGAAGAGTGTTTTTCATCTTGGGAATTGGTGAATAATTGGCGAATTTGAGAAGCTCATGGAGTAAAAGTTTGCCTACATATTTTGTGTTTTTCATTTTATTTCTTCCAAGATGTTTTCTATTTCTAAATTAAAAGTATTTCAAAAAAACAAACTTCTCTTTTTCATCACAGCTTTTTCAGATAACCCTTCCTGACCTTTCTTCCCCCCTCCCTCTTTCCTTTCCTTCCTTTGAATTTTGGTTTATAGGAGAAATTAATGGGCATTGTGAAATACTGCACTGAGTGCCCCTCTCTCAGCCAAACACTTTCCTTTAATGGAAGAAGAAACAGTGTCCATAAACCATGTGAGCTGGTAGTTTTAAATTTCTGTAGAAGTTCAGATGCTACTTGAAATAGGATTTTGAAAATCATGGTTAAAACATTGAAATAAGAAACCCTCTTCAGATAAACTGATTAATCACAGTAATGAACATTGGGGTTCTTGCTTTGTAAAGAATTCACTGATTAAATGTGAAGTGAAAAAAAAAAAAATGAAGTAAAAAATGTCATCTTCTTTCCCCTAAATGTTACATAAAAATAAGACAGTCTATTCCCCATTAAAATAAAAAAAAGTTGGACCTCCCCGGAGGCGCAGCAGTTGAGCGCTGGGTTGCGAAGCTGCCCGCCGCCTCTGCAGCACCGGTTCGATCCCCAGCTGCTCCCCGGCCACCGGAGGAGGGTCCCACATGGCGTGCAGACCTCTCCTGTCGCCCGCTGCTCCCCTCAGCAGTGTACTTTGGTCCTTCTGCCTGCTCTGCTCCCCGCTCTGGCTCTGGTGAATTCTCTTACCCACCCGCGCTTCTGACTGTACCCAGTGCATGTATAAACAAACAAACAAACAAATAAATAAAACATGCCTCTAAAAAAAAATAAAAAGTTAATATGTTCATTCAGTGTTTAGTTATTACACTTAATTTTCTAGAGCCTTTTTAAAAAAATGGTTAACACATGTTTGGTAATTGTCTTCTGATTCTTAGTGAATAAGGTAGGCAAAGAGTCTAACTGGAATGATTGGGCAGTATTCCTTCATAGCACTTCCTTTTTGAGAATGTTTCTTGGTTTGGTTTTGTTTTTTGGGTCTTAATCTGGGAAAAATAACAGTAAACCCAGATTGGAGGACTAGAAAAACTAGCCAGTTGGTCTTCAACTCTGCTGGCATTATTTTTTTTTTTTTTTTTTTGTAGAGGCATGTTTTGTTTATTTATTTGTTTGTCTATTTGTCTGCTTGTTTATACATGCACTGGGTACAGTCAGAAGCGCGGGAGGGTGAGAGAATTCACCAGAGCCAGAGCGAGGAGCAGAGCAGGCAGAAGCGAAGTACACTGCTGAGGGGAGCAGCGGGCGGCAGGAGAGGTCTGCGCGCCATGTGGGACCCTCCTCCGGTGGCCGGGGAGCAGCCGGGGATCAAACCGGCGCTGCAGAGGCCGCGGGCAGCTTCGCAACCCAGCGCTCAACCGCTGCGCCACCGGGGAGGCCCTCTGCTGGCATTATTTAAATGTAATGGGAATAAAAGGCCCTGTCCATTTTAAGAAGAATGTTAGCTTTGAAAAGATAAAATTGTACAGACATGAAAGAAATTGTACTATTTCCATGTATTTGGGGAAGATCAAAAGGGCAGAGCCAAGGGCGCATCCCCTGGTGGCACAGCAGTTGAGTGCTGGGCTGTGAAACTGTCCGCAGCCTCTGTAGCGCCCATTTGATCCTCAGCCACCAGCAAGGGTCCCACATGGCTCGACAGACCTCTCCTGTCTGGCCCGCTGCTCCCCTCAGCAGTATATTTCGTCAGTCTATCTGTTCTGCTACCCGCTCTGGCTCTGGTGAATTCTCCTACCCTCCTGCACTTCTGACTGTACCCAGTGCTTGTAAAAATTAATAAATCTTTACAAAAAAAAAAAGGGCAAAGTCAAGTGAAATGTCAGGGCTTTTGCCATAACAATTAGTAATGAAGGCGATTTTTCTCCAGGGAAGAGCAGCAGTTGTACAAATGGGACTATCATGTTACATAATGTGACCGTGGGTGGTTGATTGAACCTACTTGAACCACAGTCTCATTTTCAGAATGAAGATATCAGTGCCCAGTTTTCAGTGTTGAATTGCCTTAGGTCAGAAAGTATGTGTGAATGAAGCAGGCACAATGCTGGAGCACTGGTATTTCAGTATTGTTTTTTCGGATTCTTTCATTTCCTCAGAGGCAGGGTTCACTAGAATTGTATTTAGCTGATCTTCCAGGTGGGATAGCTGCAGTTGTGATTATCTTGTGATTGTCTCATCTCTAGTTTGCCATGTTTAAAGGATTTTTCATGTATATTCCCAAACCCAAAGATGCAAGGAACTCAAATTTATGAAAGGGCTGGGGCAAATTTTACTTGAGTTCTATAAACTAATTTCCTATGCTGCTAACACCTTTGCTAGGAATGGGCAAAATAGGAAAATAACTATTTGCACGTGTCTTAAGCATGAAGTATGAAAGTTACTGCTATATAAAGGTAGTGCTAAGGGTCATACTAGTAGCAATTATATTAATAGTCATTCTGAGGTAGAAAGGATTATATCGATTATATACACTTCAGCCACTACAAAATTCAGGATTATCCATTTTATCAAACTTCAAAGTAGCTGTCTCAAGCTGCACTTAACATGTTTAGTTCCTGAAGAAATGAGATTTCTATGGTATCTTTCAGATTTGCTTTTCTGAGCTCTCCCTTAATCAGAGAGGACTCTCAATTATCTGAAAATGTCTGTACCCCACCAAAACTGGCCTCCAGTTCAAGAGCATTCACTGGGTCTGTGATAACCTTCTGACACAAATTCTCCAACACTGTAGTTTCCAGCAATTCAGTTCAGTTCTGGTTCCACAGCCCACAGTTCTCAGCACCACAAAACTGCCCCACTAAACTGCCCCACTTGTCAACCGCTAGTGGGTTTTCCTCAGTATCCCCACAAATGATTGCAAATTTGGGGTTTCCCACATCCCCCACTCCCAAGAATAGATAATACTGGACTGACTCACAGCTCAGGAAAATGTCTACTTAATCAGAGTTTTATTATAATAGTTATAGCTCAAACAGTCAAGTGAAAGGGATGTTATAGGGCAAAGTGTGAGTGAACTCCCTAACGTGTTTACTAACATGGAAGCTCCTGGGCCCACGATTTAGGGGGTTTTATTGAGGTGTTATGTGGGCATTATTAAATTACTGGCCACTGTTGATTGAGTCTAATCTCTTGCCCCTCTGCCTCTCCTGAAGAATTTTTTTTTTTTTTAAAGATTTATTTATTTATACAAGCACTGGGTACAGTCAGAAGCGCGGGAGGGTGAGAGAATTCACCAGAGCCAGAGCGGGGAGCAGAGCAGGCAGAAGGACCGAAGTACACTGCTGAGGGGAGCAGTGGGTGGCAGGAGAGGTCTGCGCGCCATGTGGGACCCGCCAGTGGCCGGGGAGCAGCCGGGGATCGAACTGGTGTTGCAAAGGCTGCGAGCAACTTCACAACCCAGCGCTCAAACCGCTGAGCCACTGGGGAGGCCCCCTCCTGAGGAATTTTTAATCATGTGATTGGTTTTACTTGTCATCACCCCCATCCTGAGCTATCAGGGTCCTACGAAGAGTCACCTCAATAACTGTGGTCCAAGATACACCTTATAAATAACAAGCTTACCCTTTCACAGAAAATTTCAAGTTTTAATGACAAAGACCATATGTTTTACACCACAGGACCTTTGATGGAAAAAAGGCACATTAAGAGTAAGTATATGAATGGGTTGTCTGTGTCTAGTATTTATACACTGTATTTAAAGAAGTGTTGACTAACCAATATTTATTACATTTTATTATTTCCCACTATATTATCATTTAGTAATAGCATATCTATACTGCAGAGACTTTATAGGCTCTGAATGTTAACTACCTAACCTCAGATGGGAAATTTATGTTACTTTTAGGAGGCATAGCAGACCTTCAAATCTATCCTTTTACAAATGAGGACTCTCCAGTATTCCTGTCACACTGTGCTTGGCCCTCAAAATTCTATGAGTCAGAGCCCTCCTGCATTTAAGTATATGTATATGTGTTTACCTTGTTATTTATCTATTACTGATATTGATTGACTCATAATTTTTTAATGATTTGAAATTCTTACTAGTGTTCCATGAATTAAGAACACTAGAAAAAGAGGCAAAAAAAAATGGGTTGTGGGAAACTGGGTAGGTTAGAATTGGAAGCCAATAGGTCATAATGCTGGTGGCTTCACCACTCACTAGAGTGCTGGTTGGATAAATCATTGTGTGCATCTCAATTCCCCAAGTTTAAAATTAGGTGATTGTGAATATTATACCTAAAGTGCCTGGAAGTACTCCATTTCTTTTATCAAGTACATTTCACAGTGGGTGGTGGAAAGTAATTATCCAATAAATAGGGATTATTTTTAAATTGATGTCAATCTTATATTGAAAAATTGTATACCATGTGATTGAACAGTTGATAAAATAATAAAGCACTCATGTGCTCCCTACCTAGTTTAAGAAACGGAATCAAATCAGAAATACTCCCTGCAACAACAATTGTATTTTCCTCTTTTCTCCCACATAAAGCTTTTAGCTGTCCTGAATTTTCTCTTGTTTTTAAGTTGTGCATTGTATATATGAAAGCATAAACAATTTATTTTCTTTTTCTGTTTTTGAGTTTCAGATAAATGCAAACTTTCCTGTCTCTATAAGGAATTCTAACTGAAAGTCATGGTCTGGCAACTTAAAAGAAAATTTATCCAATTTTGTACTTCAACTCCAAAGGGCCTAAGGATCAAATTGACATAAAAATATTTGTTCTTTGTGAGCAATTAGAAATTCTGAAAAATCACTCAGAAAAATACAGATCTAGTGAAGCTGTAGTTAATAAAATGCAAATGATTATATTATAGTGGGTTTTGAGGGAATAATCTGGAGTTTGTTTTTGGCTGTTAGTTGAGATGCCTATTGGATAGGCATATGGAGATGTTGAGTAGGTAGTTGGACACATCAGTCTGGTGTTTCCTGAAGATGCTCAGGCTAGAAATGGAAATTTGACATCATCAGGGTAGAGGCGTTTTAGAAGCTTTGATATGGGAATATAGCAATAAAACTGAGTCTATCAAGAGAACAGTGTAATGACAGAATCCTGAGAGCTGCAGTGTTGGGAAATCTAAGAGGAGTCTGAGGTAGGAGGAGAGTCTGGGATTGAGATGAATGGAACCCAAGTGAAGAAAGTAATGAAGCAGTAAGTGCCCCACTGCATCCAGTGCCACTGAGTGTCTTGTAGGTGAGGATTGAGACTGGGCAGATTTACCAATGCAGAGAGTGTGATTTTGATATGGGTAGAATGTCTGGGAAAATCTTGACTGCAGTGAGATCAAAGACAATGAGGGGCTATCAATATGAGACGAGACTTA